ACGGATGCAAAGGTTTGACAGCCAGCTGTGAAATACCTTTTGCTCACATTTGAAGATCATAATCCTTGCCAAGTGCATGTTAAATAGGTGCGCAGCTGTAGAAGTGTTCCACCACTTTCGTCACTCGAAAGTGCGCCAAATTGATTACCAGATGCCGTTCCAAACTACTTTTACAGGCAAGCTCAAGCGCAACCAGGCATACACCTAACTATGGGCAAAAATTTTAATTGTTGGCCTTCCCTCACGCTTGGTTACTCTCTATAAATGGCTGCAGTAGGTATTATGCCGTTCATGTTGTTCGCTGCGAAACCTCGGCATCGGTGCGCATGCCGCGCTTTGTGGCGCTACTTAATCTCACCTGCCTCCACCATCGTTAACACGCACAGTGGCAATGATTAACAAATGAAACCAGTTCCCACCAACATGAATGCCATCACTTCTCTTATCGCACTTTTGGTTATCAATTCCAGAAAATTGCAAAAAAACCACATCGGTCCAATGCGAAATGGGTGGATTTCCTCATCCTCGAGACTGCCAAAAATGCATCTGCCCCGGTGGTTATGCCGGAAAGCGGTGCACTGAGAGAGTGAGCTAGGAATTAGATACAAACGGCATAGGTGCAAAAAGTTGGTGCAAAAAGTGTTTGCTTTAGCCATCATCAGGGTGTGGCGATACAATTAAAGCTTCGCCTGATTGGACGAGACTTGAGAATACTGTCGGCCTTGGCCGTGATGAGCAAGAAGACTTTGAGACATGTCACTACTGGATTGAAGTGAGTTTTGTACCCTCAAAAAGTTAGCAGGTCATTACTTTGATCGTATGCTCACCGTAAACTCCGAATAGCGGGAGCTCAGTGAAAGAGCGATCATTAATAACTCCTCCCTGAGTGTCCAGCAGTGACACTTCTCAGTCGACCACTAGTTATAATTGCCTCGTCTTTTGCAGTCTCCTGAAGGAACCGAAATCGAAGTGAAATTAGTGAATTTCACAAAAGGCCTTTCTGTTGACGGATGCAGTTATGCAGGTGTAGAGATCAAGACCAACAAGGACCAAACGCTCACTGGTTACAGGTACATTGGTTGAAAAAAATTAGAAGTTTGGTAAGCTCAATTCGAACAAAAGAACGAATTGGACTGAAATGGCAGTTTGTTCTTGGCGAAACAGTAGCCAAAATGACCGACACGATCGCCTAAGAGTCATGCAGAAGCCTCAAAAAACAAAAT